GCGCCGACCCCCGCAGGCAGACAGGGTGCTGAGCCCCCAGGGTGCCGACCCCTGCAGGCAGACAGGGTGCTGACCCTTGCAGGCAGACAGGGCGCTGACCCCCCCAGAGCGCCGACCCCCCAGGGCGCCGACCCCCGCAGGCAGACAGGGCGCCGACCCCCCAGGGCGCCGACCCCCCAGGGCGCCGACCCCCGCAGGCAGACAGCACGTCTCGGCCCAGGTAGCCCCGCCCGGGGACTCCTAAGGGGTGGACGCTGCATCAGGCTGCGTTGTGAGTCTACACCTCAGGCTTCGAATGGGCCGAGCTCCATGCGGCTCGGAACCTTTGGATACCTCGTGCACCGTGCGCAGCCCGCAGGCATGTAACTCCGGGAGCCGGAGCCGCAGCCACGTCTGAAACAACCCCATGTTCCTTCAGACCGCTGCCTACACTCCCTCCACAGATGAAGGTTTTCTCTCTACAGATTTTCATTGGCTTCCGGCCCGAAAATATCCCCGCCTATTGGTTGCCGCAGCTGCCACTCTTATCTGGCCCCACCCCCAGGAACTCCGAAGAGGTACACCCCACACAGCACGAGCAGCGGTGCCGGTGGTTCCGGCTGCCCGGAAGACCCAAGCTGTTACACATGCTAGCAATCCGGAAGCCTGCTGAATTTCAGCTGAAACCCCAAAGTAGCAGTGAGGTTTCCTGCGGCCTTGAGTTCAGGAGTAGAACTCTTGAGGGCGAGAGTGGTTGAAAAACGGACCGGAAAAAAAACAGTTAAGAACATGGACTTTGGAGCCAGACAGACCTATGGATCTGCCATTAACTATGGAATTTTGGGTATATTATTTCTCTATGCCCCAATTTCCTCATTATAAAATGGGAATACTCTCTATCATTACCAATTGTTGAAATTAATTTTATGTAAATAATCTAGTAGAATGCATGGTATATGGTAATGAACAACAAGCTATTAAAATAACTGAATACGACATTTCAGGACTGGAGCAGAGAAGCTGCAGAGGGCATCTCTTGGAGTCTCGTCACAGTGGTGCTTAAGAGGGACCTTGGAGACCTCTTAATTTTACAAACAGGAATTTAAGGTCCAACAGTAAGTGCTGATGCTGGCTTGTGAATCCAAGCCTTGTATTCATCCACCACGCCATGCTTTCTCTGCTAATGGAGTTTACTCAATGTGCTCTTCCATTACCTCAGAAATAGAGGTGCCTGGCCCTAGAATCTTAGCTCTCTGCCGCCTTTATAAGGCCTTTGCCTCTTATTCCCATCCTAGCTCTCAACTTATTATCCTTTCTCTTCCCTCCCCCTGCTGTATCTAGGACACAGGACTAGGTATACTTGATCAATTTTACACAGGAAAAACTGAAACATGGTCAGGCTTGTAGTAGGTAACGTATGAGGAGAATGGAGGCTGGGGGTTGGGGGGCGGGCAGCTGTGAGGTTCTCAGTTATTCCCGTTAGTCCCCTCACCTGGGGGTGGGGATGGTTAGAGTCGGTTCTCAAGTTTCAATGGTGATGGGATCAAGGGCTGTGGAGGAAGAGCAGTCAGAGAAAGCTGTTTAATCTAGATCTCCACAGAAGCCAGAGGTTCTGTCTGGGGAGGGCAGCAGCTGAGCTGAGTCACAGGCACCACGCTGGCTCTTGTCTCTGTCTTCTGGTGTGTGAGACATTCTGAAATACAAAGAGAGAGACAAGACTGATTGTGGGAGAGGAAAGTTACTTGTATGTGTGTGTGGTGGGGAGAAGGTAATGAGAATTTAAAAATGGCATTCAGGAAGTGTGATAAAAGGCAGGGCTTTGCAGGGGAGTGTTATGCTGCAGGCAACCAAATGGTAGGTGCCCAATAAATACTGAATTAAGAAGGTACCTATTACTGGATGGACTTGAAGCCCCAAAGGATACAGACAGTGACACACACTTTATCCACCTGATTCTACCCTGTCCTCTTTTGTTAAGACAGTAGAGGGATGGTGAAATAACTAGCTTATAGTGAGCTGGCAGCTCCCACACTCATCCCTCAAGCATTTAAGGGCTGCTTACTGTGTGCAGCAGGCACTGAGATACGTGCTGGGGGGATGCCTGCCAATCAGTAACTACTACATCATCACCTGTGTAACCTGTGTTGCAATGGAGGAAGGGAGGAATGTCATCCTACCTCCTTCTGTAGCAAGCAAGCCAGCAAGAGCAAAGTAGCTAAGGCCAAATGAATCAATCACTGGTTCTTCTACAAATTCTGACTTGTGACTAGCATTTGCCTCAGCCTCAGGGAATTTTAACCCGTTAGGTTGCCTGGGAAACATCCATCCATAAAACTTCTCGTGCGCTTCTCCCCAGCCCAGAATACCACTGAACACCTACTATGTGCCAAATGCTATGCCTTCACTATTTCATTTAATTCCAGCATGACCTTGACAAGTAGTAGCTATTCTTATGCTCCCTTTAAAACATGGAAACGAGCCTCAGAGAAGTCAAGCCCCGCCTATCTGAATCCAAAGCCTGTTTTGTTTATACCATCCACTCTGCCTCTGGGGGCCAGATGATTAGGCTTCTGCATATTTGGTAGCCCAGCTCCCTTCTCCTCTCCAGGGTTCACTACCCAGAGGCTTTAGGGCCAAAACCTTTAATACAGAGATGGGTCCAATTAAAAAAAAAAGAGGTGTCATAACAAATTTTCTCTACAAGACTAAGGTTAAGGAGCAAGAAGTGTGCATGAAATAATGTCAAGATTTCATAGAAGTCCAGGAAAAACAGGAACCTCAGTAAAGAGTGTCCTAGATCCTTAGTAAAACTTCGGGAAATTCCCAGCCTTAATCAACTTTTGGGAGAGATATAGCCCAATTTGGCTAAAGCCTTGGTGAGGTTTTTTTTTTTTTTTTTTTTTTTTAAATAGCTTTCAATCATATGTGAGACTGCTCTCCATTGAATTTGTAATCAGGATCAGCACACACCTCCAAATCTACCTCAGGCTCTTAGAAGCAAAATTCTCATTTCCCTTGCCAAAGAGGCAGAAGAGATATTAGAGGTAAAATATCTTTATATAAAAAGTAAAAGATATAAGGTTAACGTCATTAGCAGCAAATGCTTTTTGAGGCCCAAAAACGTGGCTAAAGGCACAGTAGGTGATGCAGGGGCTAGGTTTCTAAAATTTTCCTTAGTAATATAAGTGCTTAGATCTGGGATGGATCTTCTACTTTAATTCGGCTTGAAGGTGCCTCCGTGGGAGAGAGTAAGATTGCCCATCCTCAGGACAGCATACACTACAGGGGAAGTCAGCACAACCAGACTAAACCAAAGCTAAGAAGTTGCCTGAATACAGTCAAACACTTTGAGGGACAGAGTAGCAGGGGCGGGGGTCTGGGGACAATGCTTTCAGGGGACATCTACGTCAATTGGCATAGCAAAGTTTATTAAGAAAATGTTCTGCATCCTACTTTGGTGAGTGGTGTCTGGAGTCTTAAAAGCTAGCAAGTGGCCATCTAAGACGCATCAATTGGTCTCAACCACCTGGAGTAAAGGAGAATGAAGAACAGCAAAGACACAAGGAAAGTATTAGCCCAAGAGGCAGAAAGGGCTACACAGACCAGAGACTTCATCAGCCTTAGACCAGAAGAACTAGATGGTGCCCGGCTACCACCAATGACCGCCCTGACAGGGAACACAACAGAGAGTCCTGGATGGAGCAGGAGAAAAGTGTGGTGCAAAACTCAAATTCTAGTAAAAAGACCAGACTTAATGGTTTGACTGAGACTGGAGGAACTCCAGAAGGCATGGCCCCTGGACTCTGTCAACCCAGAACTAAAACCATTCCTGAGGCCAACTCTTCAGACAAAGACTGGACTGGACTGTGGGACATAAAATGATACTCGTGAAGAGTGTGCTTCTTAGCTCAAGTAGATCCATGAGACTAAATGGGCAGCTTGTGTCCGGAGGTGAGATGAGAAGGCAGAGAGGGTCAGGATCTGGTTGAATGGACATGGGAAATCAGGAGTGGAAAGGAGGAGTGTGCTGTCACAGTATAGGGAGAGCGACTAGGGTCACATAACAAAACATGTATAAATTTTTGTATGAGAAACTAACCTGAATTGTAAACTTTCACTTAAAATACAATTAAAAAAAAAAAAAGATTTCCCATCCCCAGGCCATCTCGAGTCTGACAGAGAAACAAGGAAACAAAAGCCCCGAGCGATTAGCGTTTAAACAACCCTGATTTGTCAGGTCAAAGGAAAAACATAATGAAATCTCCCAGACACAGGGGCCAGGGCAGGGATGTGTCAGCTCGGGCTTCACTGAATGCTAAAGTAAAGAAAAAACCGAACGAAAACAAAAAGACATGCAAGAAAAACAAACAAAAAACCCAAAGAGCCGCCAAGTGCTCTAAAGGACGGACCCAGGTCCATCTCCAGAAGGCAGTATCCAACTAAGGGACCCCTCCTCAATAAACAAGATTTCAAATGAATTCTTTACGTAATCTCTACTACCCTGGCAATGACTGACTACCTAGAAGATTGGGGACCCCAAGTTCTGTATTATGTAGGCACGAAGGACTTCTAGCCAGAGGGGGAAACAGGACCCCGCCCGTCTTTCTACCCACTCCAACTGAGATGCCCCAACAAAAATGCAGTAAATTTCAAGTCCTCTTACCGCCTCTCTTTTCCACAAATTAGGGGGCACAGGACTCAAGTAATTCTCAAGAATAAGGGGATACAAAGGGCAGAGGTGCATGGAAGTAGAGCTGCTTGAACATCCAATTTGTTAGGAAACTGAACGGACCCAGGCTGGACTGTATACCCAACAGTTTGAAACACAAACTGCAGCCTGTATTTTTGTTTTCTTGGTCCGCATGGCAGAGCTCCTAGCCCCTCCACCCACACCTGCTTTCTCAACTTTGGACTCTTGCTAGGGTGAGAACAACAAAGGAAGTTGGTTAGAAAAACCAAAGAAAAAAAAGTAACTGGCAAGTAACCATAGTATCAATTTCTAAATAATTTCTGCCTTATCCCCTTCCCTCAAACTTGTATCTAAGCATAAAAGGGTTCTTTCATTCCCGTGTTAGAAGTAATTTTGGTATTTAGTTTCTCATTGCTTCTGCTCCCTTCCTTTAAAGCCTATGGGCTTCTCTTCTCCACAGGGGGAGAACAGGATGTTGACTTCCAAGCCAACATCTCAAGGGTGGTTCTCCAGCAGACTTGTCTACGCGGTCAGCCCCGGTGAGTTATTACTCAGCAATTGTGAACAGCCGACCTGGCTTGTCCATAGTTACTCATGAACAAGTATGAGAAACGCCCCAATATCCTTACGAGGCTAAAACCCATTTTGATGGTGTTGTGTTACTATGTCTACATATGTGAGAAGGTAACTCAGCCCTCCTGTACGAGACTGGCTTAAATAAAACAATTTAGGGGCAGGAAGTTATGCCTTTTCATCACACCCAGAAAGGCTTCCTGGGGGTGAAGACAAGAATCAGGAGGACAAGTCAAGGTCCCCAGAGGGGATAAGGAAGAAAGGGCGAGCCAGATTCCAGGAGCAGCCAGTGCCCGGGTTCACCCTACCTGCTGGGCGAGTCCCTAGGCCAATGCTATTTCTGCAGTGTCTCATGACACACATATGTAGCTTCACATAATCAAAGCTGCTATTTAGAGCCTTCTACCCTGCCAGTGGCCCAGACCTGGCCCAGATACAGTGACTGTCCCTCTTTACTCCTTAAAGCCACATTCCATTTATTAAGCCTCACTGGATTATGAAAAATGGGGTAAGAGAGGATTAAGTGTGGCTTCTGTATTCCAGACTACCAGTATGTAGTAAGGAGGGTGGATGTGGGCAAAGATCTGGCCAGAAGGACACCACCACTACCCCAATCCTATGCTGGTTTAAAATGGTTTCTTGGCTCACAAGTGCACCACCTTTTCAAGACATACAAATAATCCACACAGTATATCCCACTGAGTCACCAACCATTCCCTGAACATCTTGATCTCACCCACCTATCATCCCTCTGCAAACTTCAATTACACA